CCGATTTTCAGTTTTGCGTTTTGCGTTTATGGGTATTTTTGCGTTTTATACCACTACCTCCCCTGCTGTAGATGGATCTTCACCAATTGTTTGTAGTTAAGCGCAAAGCTACACAATGGGCTATCTGTGCTCTGCCCACCAGTTTCTAGCGTTGTAAGTCCGTAAACATACCACTGTGCCATTGTGGGGCGAATCTTCACTAAATTTGGTGTAGAGGTTCATTGGGTCCATGGGGAGATACATGCAAAATTTTAGTTTTTCATTTTGCATTTTGCGGCTTTTATAAGCGTTGTTACATTTTTTACCACTACTTCGCCCCCTGTAGATGGACCTTCGCCAAATTTGGCATGAAGGTTTTTTGGGTCCCTTCGGAGATACATGCAAATGTAAGGTTTTTATAGGCGTTTTTTACCAGTAGTTCGCTCTCTGTTGATGGATCTTTACCAAACTTGTCATGAAGGTTTTGTTGGATACAAGCAAATTTGCGGTTTTACATTTTGTGTTTTGCAGTTTTTATGGGCGTTTTTGCGTTTTTTACAATTACATATAAGGGAAGCAACTTTTCATGTCCTAAGATAACCTTTCATTAATCCGATATTAAAATATACTTTTGTTTCCATTAACGTTTTCTGTATGGGAAGCATAATAAGAAAGGTTGATATTGCATAGGACAAAATAACATCTAAAGATCTAAAAAAAAGTGAAGTAACTAGTTTAGGATTTATTAAGGTAATAAAATTATATCTCTTGTAATTTAGGAATTGTTATTGTTTGTTATTAAGCACAAAGCTAACTAAACAAAGGGCTATCTGTGCTCTGCCCACCACGGGTATTGAAACCCGGTTTGTAGTAGTATAAGACTGCAGACATACCGTTTGGAGAAAGTTTCAGTATATAGTTTCTCTGTTTACAAGATGCGAATTGAGAGACAGGAGACGAAACCACATATATTCAGAAAAAACTTAAAATTGTTTAGATATTTATATGTATTCTTAACATATATAAATAATACAAATGTTTCACCTAGAATAAATGTTAGATTAATATTTAGCATTTAGTATTGGACAAACATATACTGTTGTTAAACAAAAAAAAAAGTCGTTACGTGGCTTGTAATGTCGTTATTCGAATATGTTAGCTTTATTTTAACTTAACCTTTTGATTAAGCTCATAGTAAAGATTTTGACAGTAAATATTTGTCATTCTTTTCCAAGTCATTTAGTACATAGATACCAGAGACTCTTTGGCTTGATGTGGTCAAGATAAATTTGCTAGTCCATTAATTTTGCATTTTCAAAGGCTGAGTATACACAATCACAACTATGATTCGTATTGTTATTCATCATCTCATTTAGCCTAAAACTTATTTATTTCTCACACCTACGAGAAATCGTGCGTTAAACGACTTTAATTTTTAAAGCTCCTCATATTGTGGTTATAAGAAGCCAGTGATCACACGTGACTCTCTTCTTCCTCCATTATAAAACTTTGGTTCATGAATAAATTAATTGTAATGAGATTTTTTTTTGTATGTTGTTAAGCAAAAAGCTACACAATGGGCTATCTATGCTCTGCCCACCACGGATATCGAAACCCGGTTTCTAGCGTTGTAAGTCCGCTATCTTTACGGTGCACACCCAGTTTTAGCGTGTTTTTTCAAACTTACTGCTGAGCCACTGGGAGTCATTATAACATGATAAAATTAATGTAAAAAAGAAAAAAATTGTAGTCAAATATCAATCTCTATGAGGATTATTTTCTAATATACTGTTTGTATTTTGTTGTATTTTTGAGGAAAACAGCTCAAAATAGTTTCATCCATATCCTTGCTAGAAATATAAAATATCTATGTATTATATAATTCAAGTAGGCATACATAATAGTAAGTATCCAAATTAACAACAACTTTAAATAACCTTTAAGTTATTTCTCGTTTGATGTGTTACAACGTGGATCACAATGGATTAAAATGTTATCAGAAGGAAATCAATAATTATGTTTTTCATGTTATTCTTTAAATTGAAGATTATTGTGTTAATGCCATTTTATACATCGTTAACTTTTTATGCCGACTGATCCGCTATATAAAAAAGTTTTGTCCAAGTGAAACTGTTTAACGATTGATATCCGGCCATATTTATTTTTTCTTCTGTAGGAAGATGCATGATTATTGTACGTTTTAAGGTTTGTATAGAAAAGTAGGAATCAAGGAAGTATTCCCTCAATAGACAGCGGAAGCTGATCACTAGACAGATAAATAAGGGAGAAAGGGTTTCAGGCCACGAATGTTGAATAACTGGTTTGATGTAGAGCATAAAAAATCCACTATTACCAGTTTTTACCACGGCTTTGTACTTTTGTGTGATTTTGACTTGAAAGAGGCACTACATATATATATATATTTATTATATAAGTATTTACAAATTACACACACATGAATGTATATAAAACATAAACAAAGTACCTTAAAGAGGCATTTTACACATGAAACGAAATACCATTATGAAACTCCATAATTACAGAATTGAAGAAAAAACAAGGCATTTGTACGTTTCACATATAAATAATTTATTCCGACCCTGGTTTTGCCAGTAAAGGCATCATGCCTTGTTTTTCCTCAATTCTGTAAAATACCATTACTAAATAGAAATAATCTTGTTTCATCAACCTTGACTGGGGGGGGGGGGGTTGAAAGCCACTCTTCTGTTCATTGTCGTAGCTTGAATAATTATAAGCATATTCCTGATGAATTCGTACGTATTTCACAATAATACTTACTGGAACAGCAAAAGAAACGAGAAATACACCGTAACCTTCACTCATCCATCTCACAATTAATACCACAAAATATTTATCCTATCAGTACAAACATACGAGCAGGCAGGTCATTGTAAAAACTCTTTTTTTCTTACTGTTAAGAATAGCCAAACCCCGATAATACAGTTGGCTTGCTCACAGCGAAAGAAAACTAGGTCAAAAACAAAAAAAATATATATATAATGTAAGACCTAGTTTAAACTGTAACTCTAAGACGCTGGACTGTCATACAGGTATGTAGAGAACTGAGTTCAACACTCTCTTTTTACCTGTAGGTCCTCCAAGCAATGCGGACCATGTTATTCGACACTGTCTATATTCGACTACTCCTTGTGACCCTTCTATACACAGGTAAGAACTTGGATAGATAAAATAATAACCTGTTTCCATCCAAAATACACACAACTTTTATACTTGGACAAATTCATTTGTTTGCTCAGAAAGTTTTTTTTTAAATGATTGATTAATGATAAGTAATCGAAACTACATACATTTAATCGTCTGTTTTTCAATATCTAAAATCGATCGAAGTCATGCGAGTCGGGGAGTTTACGTTATTGATATAGTATTTGTGTAAACAGCAGAGTTTAATATTTCATTCCTTTATATATATATCATAGACAAATCAAGGTTCTTAAGAAGAATATCAACATATATTTGATTTATTAAATTTATTATTACGTATGTACAGTTTTACAGTTTCTTTAGACTACTAATCCCAAAGCGTTCTACAGCATTACACACACACGCATACAAGCATGCCTACTTTTGATTTTTTTATGGCTGTTTTCTTGATTTACTAGCACTGAAAATCGGAACAACATTTCCCTTGACTTCATAATTCTATTCTGGGATTTGACGTTTTTGTGTTGCAGAAGGCGTTATTTTGAAAATGCAACATTAAATTTTACAAACGAAACGTTCAAGGAAGACTTTCAACGTTGAACACAGAAAAAATGATTTAATGTTTCCAAGGTTAATTTCTCAACATTTCTCTTCTCGTGTTAGATTTTGTTGTAATGTGATGAGACAACGGGCTGCAATGTTCTTTCTTCGCCTTGGTAATAAATCAAGTGATGTATTTTCTTTGCGTTGATTTTCATTAGAGCTTTAAGTGGAAATACCGATGACATTGAAAATTATCTTACGCTCAGTTAATGAAAATATATGTTTATTTATTTATCTTCTTTCAATTTAAGTTTATGATTACACTTTGTAGAGCAAGCATGCCTTATAACAAGCATAACTGCATGACACGCCTGAATTACCCAATTCGTTAATAGGCTATAAAACTTTGTTAAAGTGTCGTGTACCTGTAAGTGTTACGAATGGTGTGTCTATTAATTCTCATGCCTTTTAGACTAATTTTCATATATTTGCATTAATGAAGTTAATGTTCCGGTTCGAAATACACAAACCTAAATAAACGAAAAGTTCTGAATGTCATGAATGCTAATCTAAAACACATTTTGGTAATAAATGAATCCTAAATATACTGATTATTTTTGACCATCAAGTATGGACTCAAACATTGACACACACGTCGAAAGATTTGAATTCCAGTTATTTAAGCATTACGATTGGTTAACAATCAAACTTTTACGCAACATTTAAAAGCAGGGCATTACTTCAAATCACACGTGTTATTGCTAGTTCCCCGAAAGGGGGCCGAAGACTGCCTGGAGGGGGTCAACCATTTTAAACACTCGCACCACAGTAGTGTGTTGTCTGTCAGTCAGTCAGTAGACACTAAAATGACGTCACATAAGGGAAGCTTAACGTTGCAATTTTTACTGTCGTGACGTCAGTCAAACATGCGCCTGCCATCGATCACGAGAAGTATCATGCACTCGTAGGCTACAACACAGCATGACGTATGAACTTTAAAAGCGAGAAGTAAAAATGTTTGTTACTGTTAATTTTCGTTTTATTTACTCTTGAAACAGAACACTTTCGAAGACCATGCGCAAGTACATCTAGTGGTTTAGTCTGTATGTTTACTTCAAATCACACGTGTTTAAAATAGCTACTAATAATTTAGTTTGTATTTTTAAAGCATAGCAGTTACCATCAAGTAAAAGTAACTTGACTGCATAATATAACTGTTGTGATTAAAACTTTTACAATTTTGAATCTTGCTGTATAGATAAACAGTAATTACGATTTGCCTCATTTCCCAAGAAAATATTCATTTTCGTAACATTACCTCTAAATTTCTGCTGAGGAGTAATGTCTTCTTAATGGCCTCAAAGCGATGTTGTCTTACGTAAATTTGCTGCCTTGCTATTATTACATATTGATAGTTGAAACTGGCAAAACATTCTAACACATAAGAGAAATGAAGTAGATGCACAGAAACCTACAAGTTACCGTAAGTTAAGCCTAATAACTATAATCAAAAACTTAATTGTAGGCATAAACTCGAATCTGAAGGATCTCAAGTTTTTCATGATTGACAGGTATTTCCTAATTTACTATCTAAACTCATAGTATTTTAGATGATTAGTTTCTCAGATTGTTCATGAATGTTTATTTACAACAACAGTTCCTAACCTAGGTGCCCCCGGTGGCTCAAACGTTAAAATTCGAGATTAAGTCCCTGCGGCGAACATAGCACAGATAGCCCATCGTACAAGTATAATCTTAACAACAAAAAAACTCAATCTAGGAATCGCTGAACACTAAAGTTAATGGGATCGCAAAGAAATTCTGGGTGACCAAGGCCCTTTCGGGACATTTTAATAAAATTAGAGAGATAAAAAAACCGCTGGTTTATAATACTTTGACAGCTAGCGTGTGAATATTATGTGAATGAAGTAGCAGTTTTTAAAAAGAAATCTGATTTATTTAATATTAAATGTGCTTTCGTATTTGTTCACCTACATTTACACAATTTTACCATTAGCTCCCAAATGAGGACCGGTTTATACAAGGTCGAACTTGAGGACGTCTTGAAAAGACTGTTGAAACCTGGCAGCTGTTTCTCAAGGTGACCTCTAATTCGAATTTTATCTGTCTCACTGATGACATGCTTAGAAATAGATAGATGTAATTTAAGTTCCCTTGAAAACGTTAAAATAGTTTGAAGTTAATTGAAATAAAATAAACGTTACTTATCTATTCGCCTATTAATAATCGCTCCATGCATGTAAGTAGTTCAGTGGAAGATTTATAAAATCTCAGTTATTACTCTCTTCAAAATTAAAACACGGACTATTGACATCGTTTATGAAATAGTGACAATCCTGCCACTTTTGTATGCAACTCCGTTCATCCTATGAATGAAATAAGATTCAAATCTGTAACTTGTTGGATTAACCCTATAACCAGCATCTTGTACTTTGTACAAAATGATAAAAATGTATATTTACTAGCAAAGGTACTCACCATCGTCGGGACTAAAAGGTAATATAAAAAGGGGGCGCCTTTTTCCGCTGTTTTGAACCACAACACACGAACCGTATTATGAGCTACATTAAACGTCACTTTCCTATTAATATTGGCGCTGTTCGTGGCTCAGTTGAGCTCTCATTCGGTGCGATTGAAATGGTTGTCAAATTAGAACCGTTCGCCCGATTACTTATCCATTTAAATTTGATCTTCTTACATCTTTGTTGTTCTTGTGGAGAAGGCTCACCTGAGTTTCTCTACCAAATTCAATCGAAATTAGTTGGGCCAGTTCCTCACAACAATTTGTAACACTAGACAGATGGACAACTCTGACACACACACACACACACAAACATATAAATTTAGAAACTGACAGATGGAAATAGTGCATACTTTTGTGCCGGATTAAAAAGCTTTGAGATTCGAACTAGATTTTTGAAACGTTTTTGTCAATAACAATTTCTTTTAGCTATATAGTTAAAAGT